TCCTAGAAAAATACAACCTCCCAAGACTGATCAAGGAAGAAACAGAAAATGTAAACAGACCAGTTACCAGCAACAAAATTGAATCGGTAATCAAAAAACTACCCAAGCACAAAACGTCCAGAGCCAGATGGATTCACCACTGAATTTTATCAGACATATAGAGAAGACATAATACCCACTCCCCTTAAATTTTTCCAAAGAAAAGAAGAGGAGGGAATACTTCCAAACTCATTCTATGAAGCCAGCATCACTCTAATACCAAAACCAGGTAAAGACCCCAACAAAAAAGAAAATTACAGACCAATATCCCTGAGGAACATAGATGCAAAAACACCCAACAAAATATTAGCAAACTGAATTTAAAAATATATCAAAAGGATCATACACCATGATCAAGTCAGATTCATCTTAGGGATGCAAGGATGGTACAACATTTGAAAATCCATCAACATCATCCACCACATCAACAAAAAGAAGGACAAAAACCACATGATCATCTCCATAGATGTTCAAAAGGCATTCGACAAAACTCAACATACATTCATGATAAAAACTCTCAACAAAATGCGTATAGAGAGCAAGTACCTCAACATAAAAAAGGCTATATATGACAAACCCACAGCCAACATCATACTTGACAGCGAGAAGATGAAAACTTTTCCTCTAAGATTGGGAACAAGACAGGGATGCCCACTCTCCCCACTTTTACTCAACATAGTACTGGAGGTCCTAGCCACAGCAATCATAAAAAACAAAGAAATAAAAGGCATCCAGATTGGTAAGGAAGAGGTCAAACTGTCACTATTTGCAGATGACATGATGTTGTACATAAAAAACCCTAAAGACTCCACTCCAAAACTACTAGAACTAATATCTGAATTCAGCAAAGTTGCAGGATACAAAATTAATACACAGAAATCTGTTGCATTCCGGTACACTAACGATGAACTAGCAGAAAGAGAAATCAGGAAAACAATTCTATTCACAATTGCATCAAAAAGAATAAAATACCTAGGAATAAACCTAACCAACGAAGTGAAAGACCTATACCCTGAAAACTACAAGACACTCTTAAGAGAGATTAAAGAGGACACTAACAAATGGAAATTCATCCCATGCTCTTGGATAGGAAAAATAAATATTGTTAAAATGGCCTTCCTGTCTAAAGCAATCTACAGATTCAATGCAATTCCTATCAAATTACCAACAGCACTCTTCAATGAACTGGAACAAATAGTTCAAAAATTCATATGGAACCACCAAAGACCCTGAATAGCCACAGCAATCCTGAGAAGAAAGAATAAAGTGGGGGGGATCTCGCTCCCCAACTTCAAGCTCTACTACAAAGCCACAGTAATCAAGACAATTTGGTACTGGCACAAGAACAGAGCCACAGACCAGTGGAACAGAATAGAGATTCCAGACATTAACCCAAACATATATGGTCAATTAATATACAATAAAGGAGCCATAGACATACAATGGGGAAATGACAGCCTCTTCAACAGCTGGTGTTGGCAAAACTGGACAGCTACATGTAAGAGAATGAAACTGGATCATTGTCTAACCCCATACACAAAAGTAAATTCAAAATGGATCAAAGGCCTGAATGTAAGTCATGATACCATAAAACTCTTAGAAAAAAACATAGGCAAAAATCTCTTGGACATAAACATGAGCAACTTCTTCATGAACATATCTCCCTGGGCAAGGGAAACAAAAGCAAAAATGAACAAGTGGGACTATATCAAGCTGAAAAGCTTCTGTACAGCAAAGGACACCATCAATAGAACATAAAGTTATCCTACAGTATGGGAGAATATATTAATAAATCACAAATCCGATAAAGGGTTGATATCTAAAATATATAAAGAGCTCATGCACCTCAACAAACAAAAAGCAAATAATCCAATTAAAAAATGGGCAGAACATAAATTTCTCCAAGGAAGAAATTCAGATGGTCAACAGACACATGAAAAGAAGCTCCACATCGCTAGTCATCAGTGAAATGCAAATTAAAACCACAGTGAGATATCACCTCACACCAGTTAGGATGGCCACCATCCAAAAGACAAACAACAACAAATGTTGGCGAGGTTGTGGAGAAAGGGGAACCCTCCTACACTGCTGGTGGGAATGTAAATTAGTTCAACCATCATGGAAAGCAGTATGGAGGTTCCTCAAAAATCTCAAAATAGAAATACCATTTGACCCAGGAATTCCACTCCTAGGAATTTACCCTAAGAATGCAGGAGCCCAGTTTGAAAAAGACATATGCACTCCTATGTTTATCGCAGCACTATTTACAATAGCCAAGAAATGGAAGCAACCTAAGTGTCCATAAGTAGATGAATGGATAAAGAAGATGTGGTACATATACACAATGGAATATTATTCAACCATAAGGAGAAAACAAATCCTACCATTTTCAACAACATGGATGGAGCTAGAGGGTATTATGCTCAGTGAAATAAGCCAGGGGAATAAAGACAAGTATCAAATGATTTCACTCACCTTTTGAGTATAAGAACAAAGCAAAAACTGAAGGAACAAAACATCAGCAGAATCACAGAACCCAAGAATGGACTAACAGTTACCAAAGGGAAAGGGACTGGGGAGGATGGGTGGGAAGGGAGGGATAAGGGGGGGAAAGGGGCATTGTGATTAGCACACATAATGTAGGGTGGGGCACAGGGAAGGCAGTATAGCACAGAGAAGACAAGTAGTGACTCTATAGCATCTTATTATGCTGATGGACAGTGACTGTAATGGGGTATGTGGTGGGGACTTGATAATGGGGGGAATGTAGTAACCATAATGTTGCTCATGTAATTGTACATTAATGATACCAAAATAAAAAAAAAAATTAGACTATCAGTTATTTTACCAGCAAAGCTGTGTTTATTCAGGAGCAGCAGAGAATTGCAATTTAGGACAAGCAAGCTACAGCAAAATCACATGCATGTCCCAAGAACAAAGGAGAAGAAAATCCTTTATAGAGGAAAAGGCTGAATTGGGAGGGCTGTTCTAAGCAAAAAATCATTGGAATAAGCTTTGAGTAGCACACATCATGGCTTCTGTTGGCTGAGTTGCCACAGTCTGTCCTTGGCTGGGTTGTTGCTGGTTAGATGGAAACCCTCCTGTTGGGTAGTAAAGTAGCTAGAACAGTATGACTTGCAAGGCCTGGGTCTCTTCCTTCAGGTGAGGTCCGGTTGAGTACTGGTGGGTGTCACAGCTCCCCCTGCTGGCCTCCCAGCCCATGTCAGTGAGGTTTTTCTATTATAATTTTCACATTATGTTTAGAATTGCTTAGAGATTTTTGGAAATTTACACAAGAAAGAAGGCATGGGTAACAGCAGTTGACTCTCATAAAGGAGGACTTGCTTTTATATATATACATTTTTTTGAAAATTTGAAATGACATGCACATAACACTTTTAAGTCCAGTGCATTTTTTGTACTACATCCGTTTGAGAGAGAATAAGCTGCAAACATGCTTCCTAAACACCTTCAAATACTTTACTGTGTATCTTCTATAAACAAGAACGTCTGTTGCATGTCCACTGTAAGGTAAGGGTGAAATAATCACTATGGATTCCTAAGATCTAATCTGAGGACCTCAGGCACCTCTACCAGATGTGCTAATAACTCTACTTTCCACAGTATAGTTTTTATTGTTGTACTATATGTATATATTATCTTCACAATAACTAAAAATAAATTATATCTTGACGCAGGCAAATAAAAATAAAAACTAAGTGAACAATGAGCCCAGGGAGACAGGGGGAATTCATACACTCCCGGGTCCTCCGGTGGGAGAGGGGACCCCTCCTTCCACGGCCCATCCAGAGACATACTGTCAGGGGCCAAAAAGGGAGCGGGGGGTTGTTTCAGCCAAAGGGTCTAAAGGGCCGAAAATTGGGTGCTGAAAATTCTCAGGACTCAGCGCTGAGATGGGTGTCCAACCTCCGCTGTGTTTCAGGCGAAGTCGGGAAGCAGCCTGAGCTAACCGCGCCTGGAAGGCGAAGGCTGCAGCGCTCCCCAGGGGAGGCAGGAACCACATGCTTTGCCCGGGCTCCGGCCGCCAAAGCCCAGGCTCGTCCCCAGGGCAGCGGTCCCGCACCTTCCCGGCCCAGCCCCGGGCCCACGTGCCGGCGGGGACGTGCCACACGCGGGGCTCCTCCGCCCGCTGAGAAACCAGGCGCGGCAGAGCCCTGGGAGGGGCGGCGGGGGCGGAGGCGGGGCTCCCCTCCCCAGATAATTTCCATCCGGCGGTCGCGGGAAACGGGGCGTCTGCGCGCCCCCTCCCCTGTTCCCTCGGGAGTCACGCGGGTGGGGCCGGGGTCTCGGAGAGGCCGGGGATCCGAGGTGGAGAAGGGTGGGAACGGGGCTCGTGAGGGAAGCGGAGACCCAAGAGCCCTGCTCATCGCGTCCCCCCTCCCCTCCGTGGGCCAGGAGCCGCTCGGTGCGCGTCTGTCCCGGGGCGCCCACGGCGGGGGCCTGTCCCGACTCGTCAACAGAAGGGAGACGGGCAGCGCGGGATCCGCTTCGCAGCCCCTCCCCGCCCGAGCCGATTCCAGGCCCCCAGAGCCCAGGGCGCAGGCCAGAGGGGAGAAAGGGAGGCCGGCGCGCAGCCTGCACCTTCTCCTGAGGATGGCGTCTCCAACGACGCGTCTGGGACTCAATGCCCCGGTTTACAGATGGACCGATTCGGAGGTTCCTCAGATCCGCGGAGAGGCAGCTAGGGAGGCCCGAGCCCTCGCCAGCTCCATCAGGTCACCCCAACCCCAGTGCGCGGGCTGCTTTGCAAAGTGCAACAGGAAGACGATCAAAAGACACCCCCACCTACCCAGACCGTGACCCTCCTAAGGCCGTCCCAGACAGCAGTGGCCCTCAGATCCTGACTCCATCCCGCCTCGGCTACGGAATCGCTGTGTGACCCTTAGTCAGTGTCCTTACCTCTCTGAACCTGCTCTCTGTATGAAGGAGACACAGACAGATACGGAAGCTAAGGCTTTATTTCCCATCCAGAGCTGGCTGCCATCCCACCCGCCTGCAGCGGTGGCTCAGAAGATCTTCACTGACTCCAGCTGCAGGTCCCCGCCCACTTCCAGCAGGCGCACGCGCGCTGGCGGGATCCGGTAGCGGAAGTGGTGGTATTCTGAGTCGCCGACCACCGCCTGCGAGGAGAGGTGTCAGTGCAAAAGGTCCCTGAGGCCGACTGCGGGGTGTTTCCGACTCAGGTTCCCCATGGAGGAAATGGGATAATGTTCATTCTAACCTGTTGTGAGGACTAAATGAGTTTACCATTCGGCGCACATGTGCGTTTTAAGTGTTGCTGTGGCATTATTACCACAATTTCAGCGTCCACTGCCTGCTTCCTGACAGCAGATTTAAAGTGGTGGGCGACCCGGGCGGTGGAGGCTCTGCAGTGACCACTCCCTGCCGGCCTTGTCTCAGGGTCCCGTCTCCCAGTCCACCCTTGCCCCTGCCACAGGCCCCAAGCTCAGGCAGGAGTGCAGAGGGAGTCAGGTCTGGGATGGAGGACTGGGCCACGTCTCCCTGCGAGGACACCCACCCTTTGGGCTTCTGGCTCTGCTCACTCGCCCTTGCCCCTGTGCACACCTGCCTTCTGCTGCTAGTGGGTTGTGATGGGGGAAGAGGCCTGGGGACACCCTGCCCAATCCTGGCCATGACTTGGCTTCCCACCTCCACGAGGCACCTTCCTGGCCTTCCCCAGCTGCAAGAGGACCAAGTCTTGGCCCCCAACCCTGTGGCAGGGACTCACCTTGAAGCCTTGCTCCGTGGCAATGAGGAGCACGTCAAAGGGCTTCCCACGCTGGAAGGGAATGCCCAAGCCTCGCTCCTCTGCTCCCCAGGTGCCGCTCTCCCTGGTGTTGAAGACCACCACAGACTCGTCCAGCCGGGGGTTGAAATGCAGGGCAGCTTCACTACCCTGCTCGTCACTGCACAGCAGGTTTACATAGAACCTGGTAAGTGGGGGGAAGAGGGAGTGTCAGTAGATGTCAAGGCCAGTGGACTGGGACCTACCATTGCCAGAGCACTTCCAGACTTACGGGGATTTGAGAATGTCACACATCACAGAAAGAGAAGCTGCGGACTGCTGACCAGTGAGCAGAATCCAGGGCATTCAAAAACCCTGGGGGCTTGGACACATGTCCACCTAGTGGGGTCGCTGTGCTGTGACCTGGATCCTCCTCATTGCCAAAGTGTCTGGGACTTGCCAGAGAGTCCCAGTATGACAGCCAGGGTGCTCCTGAGTCCCGGGATATCCCATTCCAGGAACAGTATGAGGGACCCTGATTTTCAGGCACCCTAGAATCCAAGAAAGCCTGCAGCTCCTGGACTCAGGAAATCATAGCATTGATTGCATCAGCCTCCCAGAAACCCAGGGTCCCTCCAATTCATGGGACACATTTCTAGAAGTCCTAGGGACTCGGACTGGAAGTCATAGGTCTCAAGGTGGGAAACCTGAGATTGCCCTGGAGCCCCCAGATTCTTAGGGAGATGTAGGGACCCAGCTCTACAGTCATGGGACAAATAAGTAAAGACATCAGATTCCAGGAGGTCAGAAATGGCCTAGGGATTCTCAGATCCTGGTGGGCAAAGCTGGCTCTGGGTCTCTTGGCTGTGGCTGTAAGTAGTTGGGGTCAGCTGAGCCTGGACACCTCCCACCCTTTACTGCTGGGCCTGGACACTTACCTGCCAGCACTGTCAGGGACGACACCACGGATTCTCATCACGTTACCAACTCGGATGCCCTCAGGCAACGAGGTCTTATGGGGCACGTTCTATAGGAGCAGAGGTGTTGGGGGGATCAAAGTTACCCAGGCAGACAGAGACAGATGGGTCAGGCCCAGGGAGAAAACCAGCAGCCCCCAGACCAGCAGAATCAGAGAGAAGAAAGGGCACAGAGAGAGTGAAAGAGCCGGAGACAGGTGAGGGGGTGGAGAGAGAAACACAGGGCATCACAGAGAAATATTCAGGGAGAGGGAAACTGAGAGGAAAGACCAAGAGGGTCATGGGGGGCATTGGGACAGGGGCTCAACCAGAAGCCCAAGCCCAGGCCCTTCCGGCCCAGGAGCACCCACTTTGTCTTCTAAAGCAGCAGACCTCAGCCAAGCCCCAGCCCCACCCCTGTGCATCCTTGGCTCTAAGACCCCCGAACACCCTCGGCCCCTGGTGCACTCACAGAGCTCCCTGCCATGGCTGGGGTGGGGGACAGGTGGTGGGGGGGGCATGGCTGGTGGGACCTTAAGTAAAGGCAGGGCGTGGCTGGTCTTGCTGACTCATGCTCAGACTTTCCACACCCACCGCCCTCACCTGGTGCACACCCTGGACCTGGGACCGTTTTTGCCCAGCACCCACTGTCTGGGGCCTCTGACCCCCCTCCACTCATTGAGGGTCCACCCTCTCCTTTGAGCTGATACCGGTAGAGACAGTTACTAATAGAAGAACAGGGAGCAGGCTCACTGAGCCACCCTCCACCCAGCCCTGTTTTCCTGCTGCCTGGCAGAGAGAATAGACCCTTAGGCCCATTTTACCTTGGAAATGGCTGGGGGATGGAAATGGGGACCCCTCTCTCCCAGGTTGGGACCTGTTCCCTAAGGCCAAGGATGTGTCGCCACAGAAACTGCAAATGGTGCATCTGTCACATAGACTGGCAATGGCAATAGGAAAGGGGGAGCAGAGGGGCAGGATTTCTTGCCTGGGCTTCAGTGCTGTATCTGTGGGTGCCTAGAAGGGCCTGGCCACACTAAGCTCCCAGCTGATAATGGTGGAAGAGGGAGTAAAAGCTAACAACAGCTGCCATTTCCAAAGCCTCTGGGTCCGCCTGTGTGTGCAAGAAATGACCGACTGCTCACCACAAGCTGTTGAGGAAGGTGCATTGACTGTCCCCATATTCCAGTCAAGGAAACTGAAGCTCAGAGAGAGGAAGTGATTTGCCCAGAGGCCCACAGCTGTGCCATACCACTGTATCTCTGGCTTTCTTCATCTCTGGGAGTTTCTCTCCTGTCTGTTCTGTCTCTGTGAATGTCCTAGTCTCTTTCTCTGGCTGGCCCTGTTTCTGTATGTCTGTCCCATGTGTCCTGTCTGCTTTTCATCTTTAAACCTTTCTCTTGTTCCACCTCCCAGACCTGCTACCTGTCTTCCACCTAGTTTTCAGTCAAGGGGGTGAAGGGGTATCCTAGGGCCCATCTGCCACCTGGAAGAAGCAAAGTGGGATCCTCCATCCGGGCCCATTTCCAGCCCCTATAACCTGAGACTCCAGAAGCATCCAGAATAGGAAGGGGGGTGGTCATAGGCAGAATGCTGAAAAGTGGTTCTAGAAGCCAGGGGAGAGGGAGAGGCAGGGAGCTGAGCTGGACCCGCTCTAGCAGCCTGGCAGCCCTCCTCTCTGCTTCCACCCTCCTCTTCCAACCCACTCCACCCCAGCTCCCGCCCGCCTCCACAGGGGGAAAGAGGCCCGAGGCCCAGGAGGGCATGGAAACTTGGGTGGAGACAACCAGGCTCCAAACCTGATCCACCACCTCACTACCCTCCAGGCCTCCCAGACTTTCTCCACCCCCCTCCCCACCTGGGAGGCTCCTGAGGTGGGGGGGCCATTGGGGAAGCAAGTGCCTGGGAGAGGGAGGCTGGGAGATGCATTTAGGTGGGGGCTGCAACCCCCTCATTTTGCGGAGAAGAAAAGGAGACTGAGAGAGGGCAGCCACTCAGCCCAGGCTGCACAGCATGGAAGAGCCAGGGCCTGGGCTGGAGCCTGGGGCTGTGGCCAAGGGCACATCATGGGGACTTTCCATAGAGAGGACAGCGGATTGGAGGCTGTGACATTGTAACTGCGAGCAGAGGTTCCCAGAAGGAGGGAATCCATTACTCTTAGAAATAAGGGTGCTCATCTCTCATGCCTCATCATGTACATTGCTTTGTATCCTGATGACTCGTCTTTTTATTGATGGTCTTCACTGCAGCTGGATATTTCTTCACATGCTGCCAACCACAAGTCCAAACTTGACTTTGTGGCCGAATGTTTGCATTCAGTCTGTTATCAGTTGAATTTCTGGTTCCATTCTCATGACTCAGATGCACATCCTTCATGGATTCTTATTAATTTGTGTTGATTACCTTTATGTCGCTTCTGGAATAATATTTTGGATGCATTTTTTTCACTTACAATCAAGTAGTGAAGGTATTTTTTCCCAATATGTTTTTTCCCGTTGAGCTATCTTTTGCGTTCATTAAAATATGTAGATTTTAACAGAATACGGATGAGTTGTGACTAACGTACACACCTGTGCAACCGCCGCCTCCATCAGCTTTCCTTGAGCCCCGGATACAGCCAGCCCCCTTCCTCTCCCCGAGGAAATCGCAGTCATTTCTCAGTACTTAATAGCCACAAATTCATTTGCCATCAAACTAAAGATAATCAGGTCTTTGGAATACACACCTGAGTTTGCTGACTTTCATCCTCCAGAACATAATTCAGGTGAGTGAGAAGTAATGAACTGCCTCCAGGTTGGTGGCAGGAATTGAAAACCCCGGGCTCTGTCAGTGTCAGCTGTTGGTGACTTTGGGCTGGTTTTTGTGCACAGTGAAGGGAATTCAGGGGCCGCTTTGGTTTTGTTAATGAGCCTTCAAAGAGGAAAATGGCGCATTTAAAAATCTGACTTTTTTCTTAAGCTCTGAAGTCCCGTGGGAACATTGCAGTTCAATGTAGGAATCAAATAAGTTGTGCCAATCCAATCACTGCTACAGGGAAAGCATTTGCTGTTGTGTTTGGTTCCAAAGATAGAAACTGAGTTCATCAAACTCTCTTAAATGAGTCAAGCTGTGTGTGGGATTTCACCTCGTGGTAAGTGTTTAGCATCGCCACTGTCCAGTAAACTCTTCCCGGTCATAAGGAATTCCCGAATGCTTGAACTGTAAATACACTGACACGCTCTTTCTAGTCCTCTTCTTCCTTCCTCTGCGGAGCATGAGGTCCTGCAGGCCCTAGGTGGGCAGTGAGCACTGCCTCCTGGGGGTGGGGAGGCTGGAGCTTGGGGTGAGTGGGGTGAGGGGGCACTGCTCCTTGGGCTGGTCAGGCTGGGGTGTCAGAGGGAGCAGGTGAGGACGGTGCTCAGCCAAGCTCTGGCCCGCAGGGCCGAGGGGTGAGGAGGGCAGCTCTGCTGGGAGGTGCCCAGCCGCAGCAGGCAGACACTTCTGTGCAGGGGTGAGGCCCTGGGCAGTGCAGGAGCTCGGAGGAGAGGGGAGGGGAGGGCGCCTGGAGAGCAAATGGGTGTGGTGTGTGCGATGGAAGAGGGAGTTACAGATCTAGGAAGGACAAAGGCCAGGGAACCCTGTCCCACGGCATTGGAAAAAAGTATCCGTGTGAACTAATGGTTTCATGAGTTTTTTGAGGAGAGGAGGGAGCAAGTGTCTCTTTTAAAATATGTTTTAATTTTGTTAAAGTGTAAATATCAATATTAACCATCATAACCATTCTTTAAATGTACAATTCTGTGGTGTTATTTACTTCCGCATGTGCAATCAGTACGACCATCTATCTCCAGAACTTTCTCCCCTTCTGCAACTCAAGCTCTGTGTTAAAGGCTCGCTCTCCTCCCGCTTCCCCAGCCCCTGGCTACCACCATTCTCTGTGTGTCTCCGAATTTGACTACTCCAGGTGCCTTGTATGAATGGAATTATAGTAATTGCCCTTCTGCTGAGTATTATGATACATATAAAGTGAAAGAAATATAGATGTCATTACGTGTCTGTGTTGAAGGGTGACAAAACATGCTATCCCGTAATATGCCCCATAGGCATAAGGATTAAATTTTTGAGTAAAGTTACTTGCAAAACAGCAGAGGTGAAAGGACATTCTCATTTCTCCTTTTCTTCCTGCAAACAGGAGATACAAACTCCCATATGGAAGATGTGTTCTCTGCACCAGAAGGATTCTTATCAAGTTAAGACCTAGAGAATTATATGCCATCAGGCCTTGTTGAAATAATTCTTATCTTCCTTTAGCCTCCCCACATTTTAGTTTACTTTTCCACAACTGCCTCTCTTGTTCAACTTAATATAAAAGCATGTAGGTTTAGCCATTTCTTTGTCTTAATTTCCTTAGGAGGGCTCCAGTGTCACTTAAAACTTACGTAAGTGTATATGCATTTCTCCGGTTAATCTGTCAGTTTAATACCCCAGTTTAATTCTCAGGCCCAGCTGAAAATCTAGGAGGGCAGTTACAACTTTGTCTCCCCTACAGTGCGCATATATACATCTGCATTCATGTACCCCCACCTCTTCTGTCCTGGAAGGGCCTGGAAGCAGAGACACGGAAGAGCAGTGAACACATCTGTGCCCAGATCTTGGTTCCTAAGGACGGCACCTTTCTCTACTAAAGAAACTCTTTTCGAAATGGCTATTTCTAAGGCTTGGCCAGGGAAAGTATATGATGTGCCAGGAACAACTTATTGTGTCAGAGAATGTGCTGGGCATGTTGGACAGCTGCATGAGCTTGCCTGAAGGGCTCCGCACTGAATCTGGGGCAGGGAGAGTCATGCATGACAGGACCATCAATCCGCAGGAAGCCACGAAGCCATACTGATGTTGTCTTGCTCTGTGAGGGTTGCTATAGCAAAAATATCATCACTTGGGTGGCTTAGAAACAACAGAAACTTATTTCTCAAGGTTCTGGAGGCTGAGGAGTCCAGGATCAAGGCACCAATTTATTAAGTTGCCTTGTGAGAACCCATTTCCTGGTTCAGGAATGGCCATGTTCTCATTGTACCCTCACATGGCTGAAGGGGTAAAGGAGCTCTCTTGGTGCTTTTATAAGCACTGATCCCATTCATGAAGGCTCTGCCTTCATGATCTCATCTCTTCCCAAAGGCCCCACCTCCAAATACCAACCCCTTGAGGATGAGGTTTCGCCACAGGAATTCGTTGGGGGTGGGGAAGTGGACACAACATTCAGTCACTAGCAGATGTGAATCATGAAATGATTGAAATGAGAAAAGTTTGATGAACAACATAATATTTGCATAATTTCCAAGCACCTTCCCACAAAGGCTTTACTAATGAAAAAGGACAAAAAGATAACTCTATTGTGGAGAAGGCTGGCAGGTATCATGAGTCATGTGATCCAAGTCACCATAACCAGTGACAGGACACATCAAGTTCATGGGCAGCTTGATAGAATGCACACAGTGTCACTTCTGTGGGTCTTCTGCCCAAAGGGAATAACTTGAATGTCCTCCAAAGCATCAAG